AGTTTGCTTTTTTCTTCCCTTTTTTGCTCATGTTTCCCCTTTGACCTCCCACGCCCTGCCATCATCTGTCAAACATTCATCCTCTCCTTCCACACCTATCTCAAGAGCCTTGCTTCCCTGAAGGCACAGCACAACCTTCTCCTCATTCCACAAACATAAGGCAACCATTCCCGACTCCAAACTTAAAGGAGCTGGGAGATGACAGCTTCTTGAGACAACGCCTTGCTTTTTAAAGACATGGTTTTGCTGTTGTTCATGCTGGTCTTGAACTCCTGGGCTCAAGCATATACCACCACAGTTGGAAAAACTTCCTTTTTTATTTATTTTTTAATGAAGGGCTGGAGACAGAAGGAAGAACCTTGTATACCCCCATCAAAAGGTCTACCCTGAGCTACACTACCATTCCAGTACATTTGTATGTCTGTATGTCCATGTGGATTAAATCATGCCCCCCCCACGTTAACAGACTGACACTGTTAAACAGCTACATACAGAGCTCACATTTTACCTTCTATTAAGGAAAAAAAGGTTCTCCAGCATCACAACAAAAGGAGAAAAGGGAAAAATGGAAATAAATAGAAAATAAGTGTAAATGGTTATTAAGTCTCTCAGGCGAGGTGCTTTATTCGCCTTTGTACGATATCCCTGAAGTGCCTAGCAGTCTGTTCTGCCATGATAGGAACACAAGGATTTTCAAAACTGAACTGTACTGGGCTCTAAGAGACCACCGACAATATCTATTTCAGTTATCCTCGTTTTTAAATGAGAAAACAGATGCGAAAAGAAATAACTCACTCAGTATAGCTAGCTAGTGACAATTGAGACCAGGCCTGGTCTCTTTTCCCCTTGGCTGTCACATCATGCTATCAAGTAATTACTTAAATTGTGGTTCTCGAAACAGTGGGATTTTCTCCCTTAATTGTCTAAATGCAGGTCAGTGGGACAGCCCACGGCCCTAGCAATTGCTTGCTTACCAGACTTTCACAAGATAAGGAGAGAGAAGGTGGGGTGGAGGATGAGACGAAACAGTTTCCTCTTAAACATCCAAACATTACTTGCTGATGCCAAGGACAACATCACAAATGCAACAGTCACTTCGTCATTCCCTCCGTTTCAAAACCATATTTAAATCTAGGGAAAAAATACTCGCCCCTCTGCAAAATCCAGATGTTATAAGCAATTCAATAGGTAGCAAAGCATTATCAAGCCTTCAGCTGTGCTCGAAAAACTGTGGTGGGCAAATATTGCTCCCTGTGTGCTGTATTCATGCCCTCTAGGAGGGGGTCGCCTACTCACGAAAGTCAAGTGTGATAGCTTCATTAGGTGAGCCAACCAGCCCTCATTATCACACAATTTCGCTTTAAATTCCCTGTTTGCAAGAGACAACATCCTGCCACTAAAATTAAAGGAGTGATGTTTTCCCCCATTATTTTCTCAAACCAGTGTTTACAGACCTAAGCCACAAACCATCTCTTTTTTCTCTTCTTAAGCATTGAAACACATTTCAGGCAGCTTTAAAAACTGAAAACACTGTAACCAATCCAAATCACTTAATAAGATAGAAGCGCACCATGTAATCCCAAGTTATTAGATAAACTGTGATTTCTTAACGCAAACCTCTGTTAATGCCAGGGTTCCTAAACTAGGCATAGAAACAGCAGCTCTTAGACACAGGTGTCAAGTTACAAGCCTAATTCAGGGGGTTCAGCTTCACTTGCCCTGATGGAAATTAGCCAGGGGGAAGCAACCTGTCAGCAGAGGCAGGTTCTACATTCTCTTTCAGAACTGGACAACATGGCCCCCAGGTAGAAAGGGCCCCTTTTACAGACGTAGCCAAAGTGTGAGGTCAAACTTTCCCTCCATCTAGGGAGCCAAGCCACAGTGAAGAAAAGAAGACCTCAACCCCCTCAGTTTGGAGTCCAGATGAACTCGAACTGCCACTTTCGGGAAGGAAGACTTCTTGCCCAGGGACAAATCTCTGAACCCCACACTCCGTCCTCCCCAGTTCAGCTCACCTGAGCACATGGATCAGGGGAGCACTGTTGGCCCGTCTCAGGGTGCCCCCATCAGATGTGTCAGCCTCCAAATCCAGCTCCATTTTCTCCTGAGCCATTCGGAGACTTGCTAGCCCGCACAGCCAGCAGTGCTCAGCTCCTGGTGCTTTGCTATGGACTCACTGCAGGACTGAGCTGCTGGGGACTGGCAGCTGGGGGCGGGGGCTAATGGGCAGAGGCTTGGGCGCGAGGGCGGAGAAAAGTGGGAGAGGAGCATGCAGATGAGGCAGGATGTGGGGGTGGGTGGGGGGGCGGAGGAGGATGGAGAGCTTGTGTTGGGAGGGGGAATAGGATGAAAAAAAAAGGATGGAGGAAAGACAAAGACGGGAGAAGGAAAGAGGCGCAGAGGATGATAAAGGAAAGATGGAAACGGAGTGCATAGGATATATGGAAGAGGACCGAAGTGCGAAAAGAGCACAAAGGTCAGGGGGAAGAAGAGTACAGGGATGGGAAAGGAGGAGGAGGGAATGTGTGGAAGAGGAAAACACAAAAGAAGAAAAGGGAGGAAACTAGGCAGTGGCAGAACTTATGCTGTCATTTTTCCCGCCTAAGACCGCAAGCGCGGCTCGGCTACAGTTGCTGTGGCCGCCTTTGCAGCGCTAGCAATGAGGACTTGACAGCTGGCCAGACGGCCTTGGCAGCTCCACCTCCTCATGCTCAGGGTCTCTGTCCAGTCCGCCATGCTCCGGGACCCGGCCCCCAGGGCCCCTCAGCGCAGGGATGGCGCCTTTTGCTCCCTGGCCCCCGCCCGCCTGGAGGACTCGGAAAAGGGGTCGGCTCTCTGCGCCACCACGGCGCTGCTTCTTTCTCTTATTGGTTCTAATGACCTGCGAGACCCGCTGGAGTGCAAACTGAATTCTACGATCTGCTGCCTCTTTTGCCTCCCACGCTTCAGAAATGGGAGCCTCCACAGGGCCAGCTCTTCCGCATCTTGCCGCCCATTGGGTGTTGCGCATGTGCCTGGCAGCCGCTCCAATGGACCAGCGGGTAAAGTGCATGCGTAAGAGCTTCTCCCAGCGATCCGCCTTCAAAGGGGAGGGGCGTTTCCAGGGGGGCCTGAAATCTTCCTGCGTGGCATTGGTCCGGGAACGCTGGCGCCGCATTTCGAAAAGAGCCAATCGTTTGGAGACTGAAGTATCAGTTTTTAGACTAATAGTCAAGAGAAAGGGATTTTCACATTATTTCACTCCAAATTTGTACTCTGACCTCTATGATCCCCAGTCATTTCTCTAACACGCTTGTACAGGCCTTGCGATGCACTCCCGAGGAGGCCAGAGAGGTCGCTGGATCCCCTACAGGAGGTGGCTTTGAGCTGGTGCTCAACGGGAGTGCGAGGATTGCACTCTGTAACAGCAACAATCACCCTTAACTTCTGAGCCATCTCTTAGGCCTCCCTTATTCATTTATTAAATTCCTTCAGTATTTTTTTTTATTTTTATTTTTTTGCCTACCAAGGTCGGCTTTGTTTTTCAGCTCATTTGTTTTAACTGCACTAGGCAAAAATAAAAGATTCGTTTTCTTCCCAAGGCTTAAGGAGATTCTAACAATTATAATACGATGCATTGAGAAGCTGGTATTTTAAAAACACCTACATGGCACTAACTACATGCTAGGCAGCATTATACCAACTGCAACAATAGCAAACCATCTCACTTGCCATCACTGAATATCCCTTCCAAGATACAGCATCCTTTCAATCATCCAAAGCTAAAAAGTATGGGAAATATAATAATTATGCAATTAGTTTGAAATATAGCAAAATAGAGCCAGAGAGTTGGCTGAGTGGTTGGAAGCACTTGCTGCTCTTCCAGGAGCCCCCAGTTGACTTCTCAGCAGGCTTCACAACCTCCTGTAACTCCAGCTCCAGAGAACTCCAAGCGCTCGACTCACAGGGTATTGGCAGGGATGTGGCATACACACACACACTTAAAAATGAAGTATTTTTATTTTAGGAAAAATAGAAATGGAAGAAATGACTTAGTGATTAAGAACATTCACTGTTATTACATAGAACAGTTCAGTTTCCACCAACCAAGTCTGGCACTTCATTTACTTGTAACTTCAGCTCCAAGGGGTACAATGTCCTCTTCTGGCTCTCTCTCTCTCTCTCTCTCTCTCTCTCTCTCTCTCTCTCTCTCTCACACACACACACACACACACACAAACAAAATAAATCTTTCGGGAGGCAGAGGCAGGCAGATCTCTGTGAGTTTGAGGCCAGCTTGGTCTACAGAGCTAGTTCCAGGACAGGTTTCAAAGCTATAGAGAAATGATAATATACATAGTACCTTCCAGCACTATGAATGATAGCCAATAGTCAATACAGCTTGATTGCCCCATGTTCTGTGATACCAGTATATGCTGTTTTCAGTAATAGGGTCTTAGCGTCAAATTCTGAAGGGTGACCAGGAGCAATGGCAAGAGCTTGTAATGTTTGAGATTTATTTATATATTTATTGTGTGTGTGTGTGTGTGTGTGTGTGTGTGTGTTCACATATCTAAGCAGGCCAGAGATATCTGTTACCTCAGGTCTCGATAGTTGTGAGCTGAGTGTCAGGAGCTGAACTTGGGAGCAGTACAGACTTTTAACTACTGAGTCTTCTCTATAGCCCCCATCTACAGTTTCCTTCACATCATTGTTGTCTACCTAGATTTTGGTGCCTTCCATGTGACTCTTTTAAGATGTTTGGGTTATTTGTGGTTTATGGCCAGGGATTTAACTTCCCTTTGACTTGCTCTTATGGGAACTAAAGGTTCAACTGTAACTTTAAGGTTGCTGTGGCTACCTACCAAATAAGGTTATGATTATGGCATGTCTGATTATGACATGCCTGTGGGACACCTTTTTCAGATGAGGCCACTGGCAGGTAGGCAGCAGACTGGGACAAAGCAGAAGATAGTATAAGTTTTAAGCTAAAGGTCCAAGCAAACCATTGTTCTGAGAGCATGGCCTGTGGTGGAAGAGAAGACACTGACGGTGAGTGTATTAATGTATAGCTATAAAGAAGTAAGAAACTCTCTTTGGATGCCATGTTTGCCATTATAGTATATAGAATTCCTCTGGCTTTGTAGTATTTTGTCATGAATAATAAAACCCAGAGACAGATATTGAGGTTCAAGCTGAAGATGAAAAAAGCAGAGCAGCCAAGCCGCTGGAGAGCTCTTACCTCTTTGAAGTCTTCAGTCTGAGAGTGAGTTCCTGTCTCACCCCACTTTATATTCCGCTCTAGTGCTGGGCTTAAAGGTGTGCACCACCACAGCCTGGCCTCTACGGCTAACTAATGTGGGTTCTGGGATTAAAGGTGTGTGCCACCACCGCCTGGCCTCTATAGCTAATTGATGTAGCTGCTGGGCTTAAAGGTGTGCACCACCACCGCCTGGCCTCTACGGCTAACTAATGTGGGTTCTGGGATTAAAGGTGTGTGCCACCACCGCCTGGCCTCTATAGCTAATTGATGTAGCTGCTGGGATTAAAGGTGTGTGCCACCACCGCCTGGCCTCTACGGCTAACTAATGTGGGTTCTGGGATTAAAGGTGTGTGCCACCACCACCTGGCCTCTATGGCTGGCTAGTGTGGCTGTTCTGCATTCTGATCTTCACCAAGTTTTATTTATTAACATACAAATGAAATATCACTACAGTACTTGATCCTTTTGATATTCTCACTTGTAGATGTACTGAGTCTTGTCTATGTCTTTAAAGATTTTCATTTTCTGGGATGTAAATCTTCTCTTGTGAAAGAGAAGTCCCCCTCTTTGAGTAATAGAATCATTGCCATCTTATATGGTTAGTCATTTCATATTTCTGTGCCACCCTTTTCAGTTTATATTTTAAGTATAATGTTCTTGATTAATCATTTGAGAATTTCATAGATATGTACAATGTATTTTGATTATACTCATACACTACCCCTCTCCTTAGCTCTTCCCAAGACTATCTCACCCCCTGGGCCCCTCCCAACATCAAAGCATCTTATTTTTTATAACCCACTGAGTCCAGTTAGTACTGCCCCTCCCTCTTCATACGGGTGAGAGGCCAGCCATTAAAGCATGGTTATTCTGCCAGGGACCACACTGCTAAAGAACACGGATTCTCCCTCAGTCAGCAGCCATGAATTGTCAGTAGCTCTTCAGTAAGGGGTGGGAGTTGGTGAGGCCCTCCTTCCTCCACGCTGGAATGTTGACTGGCTTGCTCTGTGCAGGCAGTCTCAGTTGCTGTGACCTCATGAGTATAACTGTCCTTTCATGTCTGAGAAACACGGTTTCACTCAAGCCTTCCTTTGATGTGTGCCACCCTTTTTCTATAAACAGTCCCCAATTCTCTTTTCTTGTCATTATACTATTCTTATTTCTTAGTTATTGCATTTCGATGGCATATTTTCATTGCATTTAGATTTTTTAAAAGTGATCTAAAATGCTTGGGTGTATGAAACTTAATCTATTTATTAAAAATGCAGTCATTAAAACATATCACTCCCCTGGGGCAGTGGTGGTACATACCTTTAATCCCAGCACTTGAGAGGCAGAGGCAGGAGGATCTCTCTGAGTTCGAGGCCAGCCTGGTCTACAGGAGCTGCTGCACAGAGAAACTCTGTCTCAAAAGAAAAGACAAGAACATAAACAAATCACCCCCAAGAATATTAGTGTATTACATGAAAATTAAGATGCAGGCGAGAGCCTTTTGTCCCCTGGCGCACTCCATGGTTTTGGCCACGCTGTCCTCTCTTCTGTGTTTAAGCACTACCCTTTTCTTGCGCTCGCTCTCATCACCTTAGCAGCCATATTTTATACACTTTCCACATACCCAGGGAATTGTAACAATGCCTTTCAGATTATGGGTGGTAAACTGGATTCTACTGGTACCAAGTTATGTATCATTAATCTTTTGAGATCTCTAGGTACTGTAAAATAGTAGTGATGTATATATTTTATGAGATGACTATGAAATATAGTATCTTAGTTAGGGTTTCTGTTGCTGCGAAGAGATACCATGAATGAGCACAGCAACTCATCAGGAAAACATGTAATTGTGGTGGCTTGCTTCCAGTTTCAGAGGTTCAGTCCATACTCATTATGATGGGGAGCATGACAGCGTGCAGGCAGACATGATGCGGGTTATATCTTGATCAGAAGGCAACAGGAGCTGAACTGAGGCACTGGGCATGGCATGACTATATCTGAGACCTCAAAGCCCACCCCCACAGTGACACACTTTCTCCAACAAGATCACACCTACTCCAACAAAACCACATCTCCTAATAGTGTCACTCCCTATGGGCTTATGGGGCCAATGACATTCAAACTACCATATAGAGGTTATTTAAATTTGCATGTATTCGTATAGTAATTTAATAAATAGGTAGTGAGTGTTTATGAGTATAGAAATAGGGTTCAGACAAGCATTCAGAAGTGCCTCTTCTATTATGTTTTTACCAAACCAGAAAGGCTGAGGAATCTTCTCTTTGCCACTTAGTAGTTGGAATTTGAATAACCCCTCTGGGCTTCGGTTCTTTCCTTTGAAATCAGGGCATTGTGATGGTGCCTACCTCACAGAATTATTGTAAGCTTTAAATGTGATCACATATTTAAAGTGATTAGAATACTACCAGGCACATAAGTGCCCAATAAATGGGAGCTATTATTAACCTGTCTTACATCAGGAATGGAGACTCCAAATCATCCTCATGTCTGGGATTTAGATAATTTAATTCTGGCAGCATAATCAAGTTTTTCTTCTTCTATTCCCAGAATGAATGAAAAATAAGTGATTATGATCTTACATGTCATAACTTTTCACAAACTATCTCAAGACAATTCCATTAGTTTAAGCTCACCACTGATGAGCTGAACAAGGCTGTTGATTGAGCCAATTGAGACATGTGAAAACATTTTGTAAACTCCAAAGTGATATTTGAATATTAGAGCTATTTTAATTTTAAAAATCCCATTTCACTAGGTTCATTTACATTTTTCTGCCAGTTCTATATGTTTCCTAAAATTGTAGCTTTACACTATTACTAACATGCTGAAGTTATAGCCAGGCAGTGACGCATTTGCCCAGCATGCACCATGCTCTAGGTCCAATCCCCAGTACTCCTTACCCCTCCACACACACAAAAGCACACACAGGCAAACACAAAATCAAATGAGGGCATGGTGGCTCATGCTGCTAAACATTCAAGAGGCTAAGGTAGTTGGATTGCTACAAGATCAAGGCTAGCCTGTGCTACAGGGTAAGTCCCAGGTAAGCTTGGGCTACAGCACGAGACCTTGTCTCATAAATAAAAAAAAAACTAACAAACAAACAAAACCCCCAATATTATTAGCATGAAGTTAAGGTTTTAGCCCTGAGGAGGGCTCATTAAATGGTACTAAAAAATTCTAAATGAGAAGTTATGTGTTGTGAGCTGCGGAAGCAGAGGTAAAGTAGAATCGACGTTAAAAGGAGTATAAGCACCAATACTACCAATAGCAGAAACATTGATTTGGATGTATTCTGAGATGCTTGCTTTAAAAAATAAACTTTACTGTTATGTCTGTACATCAGCTGAGGACTTGGACTAACAGTCAGATTCAATGCATTGTAAATATTCATATAGGATTATCATAAAAAAGTTGAAAATGATGTTTTATCTGTACATTTGCTTCAGTTGTGAAAGTGATTTATCAAAGCCAAAATCATAAACACAGCGTTTTGCTCTTCCCACCTACCCCATTCGAACTTTCGTTGTGTTTTTCAGTTACAAGGGTGTAGTTTGACTGCTGTTATAGGAAACATACATGCCTTTAAGCAAGCTTGTTGCTTTTAGTCATAAAAGAAGACAGGCCCGTCCCGGGAAAACTGAAATATAGGGCAGAAGGCAAAGTCTTCCTAAATAACTGACTCCTTTCGCTTCTTTCCTGAATGGCACAGTCAGCATAGGAGCAGATAAATACCCTTTAGCACAGCACCCTTCCTGGTGAGCACAGGGGAAAGGAGAGCCATGGGAAGGCTGTTCCTGTATGGCACATGCACGCCACTGCTGCTCCTGAGTCTGGCTGGAGTCATAAAGGATGCTAATTGCTTGCATAGTTACTGTGCATTGTTTGACTGGACAAAAGAAGCTGGTGGAGGTGTAACTGCCCTTGTTTTCTCAGGATGGTTAATCTATAGTTTTTGTTTTGACAGTTCCTTGTTGCCATGGATTAGAAAAATAAGAGAGGAGAATTCACTGAGCCGTTTGCATCAGCAATTAGGGGTCCAAGTGGGGACTAGAAGGTTTGAGGCCAGTCCTGCCCAGGTTTATGTTCACAAGTGTTAGGGACATTAGGGCTTAAAGCTGAGTGCCTCTGCTCATCTAAGGGCTCCCGCCACTCTTCTCTCCCCTTCCCCCATTTGCATTTCTCCTTACAGTATCTATGGACCAAGACAGCGATGTGTTCTTAAATCAACAAGAGCCAGACACCCTTCAAAATTTCCAACTAAGTAGTGGCTTTGTCCTCAACACTGATGTGGCAAAGGAGAAAATGGAAGTGGATTTAGGCCTGCCACCAGATCCCACCACTATAGATGCCAGCCTCTTTAGAAGATCCAGCAGTATCCCATTGATCAATGGATTCGGGTGAGCAGGGTAGACATACCTGATGGCAAAAAGGGGGTGTTGGACAAAATGACACCTGGTAGAATTTCCTTGTTTTTATTTATCAAGGTTTTATAGGCATCTTCCATATTTCTGGTGTCTAGACTCCACCTCAGCCTAGTGGAGAAGAAGGAGTGGATGAGCCAAACCGATGGACAGCATTCACCCCACCCTATCCCATCTCAGCTTAACACATACCTGAACCTGAACATTCTCTTCTGACAGGACTGCCTGGACCCAGCTAGCGCCACCAGTTGGTGTGGAACATGACATTTTTGTAATTTCACTTTTTCTCTTAGCCACTCCTTTGAAGAAGCTGAACATCCCTCCACCTGTGCCTCCAGATGTGTTTTATTGCCTTTTCACTTTCTCAGCTGTCTTCTTCCCCTTTGTTTGGCCTTTATCTCCTGCACACTGAAGATGGAAATAGTTGTCAAGCAAATACATTTGGAGATATATCTTGTTTATGCACGCTCAGTGGGTAATATCCCTAGCCATAAAAGAGGAAATAATTGGTTGAGATGTATATTTTACTTTTTTTTGTGCAAAGCACAGGTATACATATAATATATGGGCAGATAAGTAATATATAGGTGGTTGTCTTACTTATTTCTTATTGCTGTGAAAAAAGCACCATGACCAAGGAAACTTAAAAAAGAAACATTTAATTTGGAGCTGATGGTTTCAGAGGCTTAGAGTTTGGGATCATTGCAGGCAGGCAAGCATGTCACTGGAGCAGAGCTGAGAGCTCACATCTTGAGACACAACCAGAAAGCAGAATGAAAGAGACATACTGGGAATGACTTCAGTCTTGAAACTTCAAAACTGTATCCCCGCCCCCAGTAGCACACCTCTTTCAACAAAGCCACACCTCTTAATTCTCCCCAAACAATCCCACCCACTGGGGACCTAGTGTTCACACATAAGAGCCAGTGGGGCCGTTCTCTAGGGGCTGGAAAGGTAGTTCGGTGGGTACATTGCTTGACATGCAAGCATGAAGTTCGGAGTTCAGATCCCCAGAGTCCACAATTAAAGCCAGGCACGGCAGTAAAGACCTGCAACTTTAGCAGTTGGGGTCCACAGACAGGGAGCTTGCAGGGACTTGTTAGCCAGCCAGCTAGACTAGCTTACATGGTAAGCTTTGTTTCTTTTGTGCCTCCCAGATAAATTACCATAAACTTTCAATTTTCTGTATAAATGTTACTTTATGCATTAAGACCTTGAGCTATGAAGTTTATCTCTAATTGCATATTAATATTAAATAAAACCCTTTAGTCCTGTGAACAAAAAGGAGACTCTGGAGAAATAGCATATCTATCATTCTTTGGCGTGTCAGTGTTGGTATCTTCCTCTATTCACTCCACCCTTTTGAAGCAGGGCCTCTCACTGAACCTGGATCTCATCATTTCACCTCATCAAAACTTTTGACATTGGCACTTTTACTAATACATGATGCACATAAAGCACAACAGGGTATTTTGATTTGTTTGTTTTGAGATTCTCAGGAATTGAACCTAGAACCTCGAGCATACTAGGAAAGCTCAATACCAGTGAACCATAGCCTCAGCCTTGACAGTAATACTGTTTTGAAGAGTTCACATTTAGGAAATTTCCTTCTGCAAGTAAGGCTGCAAGAGAATGGACTTTTCTACACATAGAATTTGATGCGAAATGAGAAAATCACTTGACAAACATGTGTTTGGCAAGCTGTAGATAGTCGTTCACTGCTATGCATAGTCTGGAAAGCAGAAGGACACTAGGAATTTGAGGCCTGAGTAAGGGAGCATGGCACATATGAACTGGGAATACGAGAGGGGAATGAATTTGATTAAGGGTCAGTGTAATCATACTTTAGACCAATTCTCCCTTCTGAGCAAGTCTCTGACTGCACCCTAACTCACTCAATATGCTATAAACGAAAACAAGCCCTCACATAGGCAGGTCTCTGACTTCAGGCATGTCACACGTGATTCCCGTGTTATGTCAAAGGTGTGGACAGCTGAGTGTGGTGGTTCATGCTCATAATCCTGGCCCCTGAAGACTGGGACTGAAGGATCATCATGAGTTCTTTATACTCACAGTCTCCAGTTCATTAGCTTAATAGCTAATGTCAAAACCTTTGACAGAGTCTTATGGAACAGGCTGTGTTCCAACTGGTAATCTCTTGCCTCCACCTCCTAAGTGTTGTGATTAGAGGCAGGTGCTACCACACCTAGCGTCAATACTACATTCAAAGTATATAATATAAATATTATATTTAAGATAGTTTTTTAAATTAATTTATAACCCAGTTACAGTTTCCCATTCCACCTCTCCTCCCAGTCCCTCCCCCATCCCTTCTGTTCCCATCCCCCAATCCACTCCTTCCTTTCTGTTCAGGAAAGGGCATGTCTCCCATGAGTATCAAATTAACAAAACATGGCATATCAAGTTGCAGTAAGACTAAGCACTTCACTATATTTAAGGTAGTTTTTAATACTATATTTAAAAATAAAGTAGGCTTTTTTTTGAGACAGGGTTTCTCTGTAGCTTTAGAGCCTGTCCTGGAACTAGCTCTGTAGGTTTTAATTGTTTTTTCCTCTGGCCTTTCTTTAAATGATTAGAAATTGAGATAGGGGTGTAACTCTCTAGTAAACTGTTTCCCTAGCATGTATGGGACTTTGGGATCGATCCCCATCACCACACACAGACAAACATATACAGAAACCTTTGCTTAACCAGATGCCATCTTCCTGTAATCACAGGATGTAGCAGGATCAGTCAAAAGAGTTGCTGTGAGTTCAAGACCAGCCTGGACTACGTAGCAATTTTGATGTCAGCCAGGTCAATATAGTGAGGCCCTACTCACACAAACAAAATAAAACCTTTAAATATTAAGTATTTTGGACTCCCTGCCAATGGCTTCCCCCTCTACAGCCCTCTGGCTTCATTCTACAGTGACATAGAAGAGAAGTAACAACAGAAATTTTACGTCCCCAAAGCCTTAATATTTACTGTGTGGTGCTTTCAAGGTTTATCCACTATCTAGTTTACTGAATTCTTACTAACCTAGAAGAATAGTACTCATCCCACTAAGGTGTTTTTTCAGGAATAATTAACACAGATCTACTGTTGCTTAGATAAGTTGTATACTGACATTTGATATGGGACATATGAACATGATCCAGTTATATTGCCTCTGCTTTGTTCCAAGTTAGAGGACAGCTACGTGCGGTGGCCCATGCCTGTATTCCTAGCATTCTGGAAGTGGAGTTCCAGAGTTCAGTGAGCTCAAGGCCAGCTTTGGTTACATAGTGAGAGACTGTTTTTAAAGATCAACACACACGTGTGTATGTGGTGTATGTGGGGGAGAGAGAGAGAGAGAGAGAGAGAGAGAGAGAGAGAGAGAGAATGGGAATGCACACAAGTACAGAAAGAGGAGGAGGAAGGAGAAGTCAGCTGGGTATTATGCAAACTATAATCTTAGCACTCCGAAACTTGGGAGGTGAATGCAGGAGAATCAGGGGTTCAAAGTCAACCTTGGCTACACAAAGAGGTGGAGACAGGCCTCAACTTCATAGGACCCTACCTGAAACAAACCAAAATTAAAGGAGGCAAAGAAAATATAGGAATGAAGAGCTTAGGTAACATTTCAAGTATACGGAATAAGCCTGGAAATAGACAAGCGTAGGTTTATACAGACAGCTGAACGGTCAAATCTGTGTGTAGCGCTGGCTTTAAATGTTTGCCTGCTCCTCTAATGATCTGTTGATCTTAAGCAAAGGTCTTTTCCTCCCACTAATCTATTTTTAGTTGAAACTTCAACATACTTAAATCTATAAGGCAGTTGCTAATTATTCCTTCCCGGGCAGGACTGTTTTGTACTCTAGGGTTCTTTGTCCCTCACATAACATGCATCCCTTTCACGAGTAAAATATCCAATGGGCCTGGTGGCCTATATTCTTAGCTACGTAGAAGACTGACGCAGGAAAATTTCAAGTTCATGACCTACCTAAGCTGTGAGATGGAATTCAGACCGACATAGGTAACAGTGAGTCAAAAGAGGGCTGAGAATATAGTTCAATGGTCGAGCTACGACATACTGGGCACTGGCTCCACTCCCCACCATCACAGTAAAATAATAGATAAAATTAATGATAGTGGTCAACAATAGTATTTAAAATGAACTATTAATTTACATAATTGTGGGGTACAGCAATCTCATTCAATACATATGTATGATGTTTAATAATCCAATTAAGGTGGTTGCTAATCCAATTTCCTTATAGTTTTATAAAGTTCAGATTAACACCAATACTTATATTTGTCACTCTGTATATTTCAATATATGTATGTAATGTATACCGATCACATAAGAGTAGCAATGTTTCCAACTCTCACCGGCTTTGTGTCTGTAGCCCGTAAGTTCCCCTCTTGTCTGGCTCTAAAGTACAGGCTAGGTTGCTGTGAACTCTGCCCACTTCACTGTGCTATACTGGACAAAAGAAAACCAGAGAAGCTATGTTTGTGTCTAGATTTCGTTCTAAAATTTTCCTAGTCCCTGAAACCCAAAAGTCTGTAGCCAGACTGCGGAGGGCTTTGAATGTCATAATAACGCCCTGAATGTGGCAGATAATAGCCTCTGAAAATTGTGAGCTAGAGAGCAAGCTGTTCTTTAGGAAGGTGACCCCGGCAGTCTGCTAAATAGCTTGAAATAAGGAAAGAACAGAGGTGAGGAGGCCAAAGAGACTATTGTGCAGTTTGTGTATAAGGAAAAATGCTTTGAAGTGGTTTTTGGCAACGATCCTAAAAAGAAGAAGATGGACAGAAAATAGAGTGTAGGGGGTACAGCCTAAATGACTGGTGCTTGATTGGATATAAGCAGCAAGAAGGTGTTAGTAGAAATATTTCTTTTTGAGAGAGAGAGAGAGACAAGGTTTCATATAGCCTAGGGGCTAGCCTCAAATTCACTCTGTAGCTAAGACTGGCAATGAATTCCTGGTTCTCCTGCCTTGGTTTCCCAAGTGCTGGGATTATAGGCATGTACCACCACTCCTGGCTAAAGATGATTTCTTCGAGTCGGTAGAGAGAGCTGAATAAATGACACACGGGAATCGTTTTGTATTCTTTTTGTGACTTCTTGGGAGTTAAACTGAGAAGTTATGATAAAAAGAAACATAAAAAGTAAAAGATGGCTTCTTCTGGGTGATAAGGTGACTAGGACTGAGAGCGCCTATGTAGACAACTGTCAAGCTGGGAACACAGTTGCCATTTTTAGTGCGCGGTGGTTGGCTGCCCTTGTTTGTGGTGTGGGAATCTGGTCCAGTGTTGCACAAACTTGCAAATTTTTAACTGAAGCTGGAAATACTGAGTTTGATTTTTTTTTTAAAGATGTGAAACCTCTTTAGAGTACACAATGAATTCAAAACCATTTTAACAGGGCAGGGCAATGCTGACCTGCCGACATCTGTTTCTTTGAGCCCTGCTGTTGGTTGTGGTTCTTTATGTAACAGTTCAGCCATTGAGAATTTGTGCTTGTACATTATAGCTCCGACCCTAAAATTAAATAAGTTACAGGTTTACACAAAAAAGCGGTGTATTTCCAAGGTTACAGAAAATTATGCTTATTTTCAGGAGAACACTTAGGGGTAAAATGGCGTATCTGAGAATTTCTTACCTTACAATGCAACTTGTTTAAGCTTGGATGAGTAAGCATCTCTGTCTCTCCCTGTCTTTCCCTGTCTGTCTCTGTCTCTGTCTCTGCCTCTCTCTGTCTCTCTCTGTCTGTCTGTCTGTCTCTCTCTGTCTCTCTCCGTGTGTGTGTGTGTGTAAACATCCACACAGATGTCTCCACCATTTGAGCTCACAGTGTTCCTCTTTAACCATAAGTTGTATTTCTTTGAAAAGTTGGTAATGGATTTTATAAGCCACATGTTTTCTTTTGTCTTAGTGATAACTCACAGGGATTCCAAGTGGACAACTTAAGAATGAGAAGGAACAGCTCACCATTTCTGAATCGCCATGCTTTGGTAAGAAAACGCTTCCTGGGCCATCCCTGCGGGAGATGTGCTTCTTCTTCTCCTCTGGTGGCCCTCAGACTTGAGTGTGGAGCACGGAGAGCTTGTTAAAACACGGCTAGGTCTCTCTTCTCAGGGTTTCTGACTCACAAGGTCTGGGAAGGAGCCTGAGAATGTGCATTTCTAGAAAGTCCTGGCTTTGGGAAACAGCTTCTCTAAACATTGCCAACAGAAAACAAACACACCCAGTGCTGTTCTGATTACTTTGCTGCAGCTGCAACCGAATTAGCTTTTAAATCCCTGATGAATTGAAGACGAAGTTAGGTTCTCATATGTAAAGTCATCGAGTTTCCATTCCCTTCTCAGGCTTTCCTAAAAGTAGTTTGCAGCCCCTTTTAGTTAAATGTTTATCTCACGTATTCATCTGGAATCATAGTTAGAATTTCCTATTCATAGTGTTACCAGGCAATCTCTAAATTATAAGCTCCTTTTCTGCTAATTAAAGCTAGGAAAATAGAAAAGAGTCCTATAGGTCAGTAAGTCAAAAGAATAAATGATTCATCATAAGAAAAATTTTTAGGTGATGTAAATTGTTGCTCACACAACATTCAATGAACTATTTTAAGGATGCTCTGAGCAGCACTAGGCTTTCAGACCGTGTTTGAATCACCACCTCTCTAGTTTCAACAAGCACACGCCTTTGTCTTGCTGCTGGAAGGGTGGGCGGCTTTTCAAGGCTCCCACCATTGACTAATCTATGAGGGGCCTTTGTCATGCTAAGGAGGCTCCCATCTACTCCTACCTGTTTGAATTGTTGTAGTACTTTTTCTGTATCATTTGAAATAATTGTGTGTTCTTCCCTTTTGTTCTATTAATAGAGTGTATTATGCAGATTTTCTTATGTTGAATCACCTTCAGATTCCTGGGATAAATCTTTTGGTGTTAGTCTACAGTTGTCTTGTGATATTTTTACTGGCTTGAGGATCTGGGTAATGCTAGCCTCATAAAACATTGGGAAGCTATATATTTTGATCCTTCTTTCCTTCTCCTAGACCCCTAACTCACCTTCCCTCCCCAGTGCCTCCTCTTCCTCCACTTCTTCCCTCCACACCCCCTCTTCCCTTACCTCCTTTTTCTTGTTCCCTCCTCTTTCCTACCCCTCTTCTCCTCTTACCACTGCTCATTTCTTCCAGCTCTAGCTCCCTCAGATTCTCTTCCTTACATCCTCTCCTTCTCCCCACTTCCCATCCTCCCCTTCTCATCCCCACTCACTTTTCTTCCTCTCGCTCTCCCTCCCTTTCTAGCCTACTCGTCAACCTCCCCTCTTCCCCTTCCTCTCCTCTTTCCCCTCCTTCCTCTACTCCTCCTCCCTGCTCCTCCCTCTCCTGTCTCTCCATCCTCCTCCCCTCCTTCCTCTCCCCTTCTCCACCCCTTCCCAACTCCCCAATTCTTCTCCCCTCCCCTATCTTCTACAACCTCCCCCTTTTCATCCTTCTTCATTCTCTCATATCTCCTTCCCCTCATTCTTCCCTCTCCCTAACCTCTTCCCCATTCTCTCTTCCACCTCCCCTCTCCTTTCTCCCACTCCCCTTTCCTCCTCTGTCTTCCTTCCCTCTTCCCTTTCCCATCTCTCTCCTTCTTTCTCCCTCCTCTCTTTCTGCCCCATTCCTCATCCCCTCCCCCTTTTCTTCCACCTCACCTCCTCCTCCCCCCTCCTCCATTCCCTCCTCCTCCTCCTCGATACCTTCTCCCTCCCGCTCTTCTTTCCCCTTTCCTTTTCCCTTTCTCTCCTATTCTGTTTCCCACTCTTCTCCCCTCCTGCCTCCCACCTTTCCTGACCCTCCCACTCCCCTCTCAGTCACCTGATCCCTCTCCCCCTCTCATTTCCCTCTTCTTCCTATATCCTCCTCCCCTCTCTCCTACTTCTTCAAGCCCTTCCCCTCTCCCTCTCTTCTTTAGCCCCACCCTCTCCTTTCTCCCCTCCTCCCCTCCTTTTCCCTACCCTTTCCATTCTTCTCCTTTCCATTCCTTTTCCTCTCCTTCTCCATCCTTTTTCTCTTCTTCTCCATCCTCCCATTTTCTCCTCACCCTCTTTTCCTCTCTCGTTCCCACTCTATCCCACCCTCTCCTTCTCCTCTCCCTCTCTCCTCCCCATCATCTTTTTTCACTCCCCCTTTTCTCCTTAATTCCTCTTCCTTTCCCTTTCCTAACCACACCCTTTCCCTCTCCTTCCTCTCTACCTCCTTTGCTTTCCTTCCCTCTTCCCCTTCCTCTCTTCCTCCCACTACTTCCTGTCCCCTCACCCTCCTTCTTCCCTCCTACCTCCTTTCATTCTCCTCCCTTCCCTCCCTTCCTACTCTGTTCCCACTCTACTCCCCTACTTTCCTTGCCTCCAGTGTCTGACTGAGAGTTCAGTTCCTAGAACATGTATAGAGGAAGGGCAGAACTGGCTCCTGAAAGTTTCCTTTGACTCATGTGCAATGGCATACACATACTCCCACACAAATAGTAAATTAATAAATAAGCAATCATTAAAGAAATAGAGACCATGAATTTGAGAGAGAGCATGGGAGTGCATGGGAAGGGTTGGAGAGAGGGAGGGGAAGAGGAAAACAATGTAATTACACTTTAATTTCAAAAACATAAAATATTTTAAATTCAAAAAAGAAAATAGCATATTTGATGAGCTGGGAGAAAAAAAGAAATAGAATGTGGAGAAAATAAAGTATGCGCTTATTTGAAAGGTAGCTTGCAGTATAAAGGTGGGAAGTCATGTGACCAGTAGACTAGTAAAGGATCTAATAGACTGAGCTGCGGTAGCACATGCCTGTAATTCCAGCTCTTGGGAAGTCATGTGACCAGTACACTAGTGCAGGATCTAATAGACTGAGGTGTGGTGGAGGCACATACCTGTAATTCCAGCTCTTGGGAAGTCAAAGTAGGGAGATTGGGAGTTTAAGGGCAGACTGGGCTCTAGAGCAAGGCCAGACTAAACTACACTGTAAGATTTTGTCTTAAAAACATAAAACCAACCAACCAACCAACCAACCTACCAACCAACCAACCAACCAACCAACCAACCAACCAACCAACAATGCAACAATACAGGACCTTTTTGTTGCATTCAGGTCATACCAAAGATTCTGTGTCTTATTTTATGCTCAATGAGAAGTCACTAAAGAGTTCTAAGGCAGTGGTTGCTATTAACAAGTTTTCAGTTTTGAAAAATCACTTTGGGCCTGGTGCCTTTAATCCCAGTAGTTGGGAGGCAGAAGCGGGTGGTTCCAGGATGGCCTGGCCTACAGAGTGAGTTCCAGGACAGGCAGGACTGTTTCACAGAGAAACCCTGTCTTGCAAAACAAAACAAAACAAAACAAAAGAAAGAAAGAAAAGAAAAGAAGAAAGAAAGAAATCTCTTTGGGTCTTTGGGGTACATGCCCTTAATCCCAGCACTCGGGAGGCGGGGGCAGGCACTTCTCTGAGTTCAAGGCCATGCTGATCTTCAAAGTAAGTTTCAGGACAGCATGGACAGCAGAGAGAAACCTTGTCTCAAAAAAAAATTTACCCTGGGGCTGGAGAGATAAAGCTCAGAGGGTAAGAACACTTGCTGTTCTTTAAGAAGATTGGAGTTCCCAGCACCCATCCTTGTTCTCGGTACAACTCCTGTTTCTAGAGGTCTGACGTCTTCTTCTGACCTCCAAGGGAGAAATGCACTTATATGTACAAACATACATATACACTTAATTAAAAATAAAAATAAGATCTTTAAAGATCACCCTGTTTTCATGAGCTGAGGATGCAGCAATTCATAGAGTGCTTGCCTGTAGCATGTACAAAAATCCCTGGGTTTGATCCTCAGTACTACATAAACTGGATAGGATGCTTTATACCTGCAATTCCAAAGCTCAGGAGGTGGAAGCAGAAAGATCAGAAGTTCAAAGTCATCCTCAGCTACAAGGTCAGCAAGTTCAATGCCAATCTGGGGTTACATGACAGTCTATCTCAAAAATAACATACATTAAAAGGTTTTTTTTAATTACCTTGCCTTTAGAGTCAAAAGTAGATTAGAAGAAGGCAAAGGTATATGCAAGAGTATTCAGTGGGAGATCTCTGCTCCAATAACTGTGGCAAAAGGCTGATGACGGGCCTGGAGAGATGGCTCAGTGGTTAGGAGTATCTGTTGCTTTGCAGAGGACCTGGGTTCAATTGTAAAAGCAATTTCATTGGAAAAAAGAGTGAAATAAAACTAAGGCAGATCAGTTTCTGTTGAAGAAGGATGGAAATGCAAGGACACTAATAAATAACACTATACGTATAAGCTCAGCTCAGTTGTTTGGTGCCAAATTACCTTTTCTGTGCCATAACTGCATCATCTGTAGGATGAGAATATGATAACATTGACATGATAGGCTTCTTTTGATAATCATATCTATCATTATAAAGCATTTAGTATAGCACGTGCATATACTGAATGATCAGTAAATATTTGATGTTTTGTTCGTGTGTGTTTATAAGGCTGTATGTGTAGGTGCGTGTGTAAGTGTGCATGAATGAAGTTTAATGTCAGGTGTCTTTCTCGATCTTTCTTCCCTCTGTTTCTTTGAGACAGGGTCTCTCACTGAACCTGGAGCTCCCCAATTCAGTTAGATTGCCTGACCAGCAGGTTGCGGGGATCTTCCTGGTCTTCCCAGCTCTGGGATTACAGGCGCATGCCATAATACCTGGCTTTTATCTACACGCTGTGGATCTGAACTCAGGTCCTCATACTTGCATAAGAAACATTACCAACTGAACCCTTTTTCTGGCCCCAAGAGGTTTCTAGTACTGGTAGTATGTATAGACAATAACCGTGTACCTAGCATTTAATGCAATTCCATCGAAATTATAGACTCTTCAATTTCCATAAGCTTCAGGCTAATACAATGTGTATTTTAAATAAATCATCTTACAGAACTAGTCCAGTTGCAAAGAACTGAGGTCATTTAATTTACTTAATGATGGGTATCTCAAGGTTTATTGATTTAACTTGCTATGACAGCACTAGGCATATGTTTTTATTGTGTCCAAGTATCACTTCATTATTAATGCAAGCCATATGTAAGTATGTGCTTACATTAGTACAGAAATGCTGTTATCCAGGAGAATGACACCATGAATTACAATATGGTAGACAGAAGCAACAAAATCCAGTTAGAAGAGACTTAGATGATAAGAAGTCAAGTAACAGAGGAGGTTCCAGGATTGGTTAATTCAGTGGTTGGTGATGTCATCAGAGACCCAAATTCCTTCCATGTCTGCACTCTCCTCTTCTCAGTAGCTTCTCTAATAATCTGTGTCCCAAAACAATTAGACCCAGGGTTCAAGACATTTACATGATCGTATGTGTTTATCAAACTGTTAGCAGTTATCTCTGGAACATGCAAATTTAGGACAAATTTGGTTTCTACTTTGTACATTTTGATAGTATTTAAAATTTTTTTAACAAAGTATGAACAATAAAGTTTTATTACCCACCTCTTCCCAGCACCTCACAACCACTATTCTTTCAGTTTTCATAGATTCTCACTATATAGGAGAAGCTGGCTTCCAACTTGTGGTTCTTCTGCCTCCACTTCAGTAATTTTAAATATCCTCAGAGAAAGCATAGCTCTGCTATGTGACTGGCCCTTTTGTAAAGATCTTCAAACTTTGGGCATAGATTTAGAACTCTTGGTTTCACAGAATAGCAAACCTTTAGTAAAATGCCTTAAAGAGTGTGTCGGTTTTCCTAATTGACCTACTCACTTTCTTTTCTTTCCTTTTCCTCCTTCCTTCCTCCCTTCTTTTCTTTCCTCTTTTTTCCTTTTATCTGTGTGGCCCAGGCTTTCTTCAAACTTGAGGTCTTCTGCCAAGTGCTGGAGTTTCAGGCATGTGCTAGCAGTGGGCACAAAAGTTTTAACTGTACAACCCTCAGAGCTGTCTGATGGGACAGTAGCTTTGCACATTGGGCATCACAGGCTCCAAATCAGTTTATGCTCCCTTAGTAGCAAGTGGATCATCTCATTCCTGGCACCGTTCTGTGCTCTGTCTGCAGCCCACATTAATTCCTGTTAAGTACTAATATAAGCTTCCTTGAGTCATTTCTGGAACCAGGCAGAGCAATCTCTAAACATAGCCTACAACTCTTCCTTCAGGATAGTCTCAGCATTTCTATCTGTAGCAACTGCAATAGGAAATGGGTTAAAAATAGTAAAACTAGAACATATCAAAATTAATTTTTACAAATTTTAATATCCATACACATTAAATTTGTCCCCTATCTATCTCTCTTACCTATATGTAATGTAGGCTGAACTCAAACTCAGGATCTTGCCTCAACTTCTAGCGTGCTGAGATTCATAGGCCACTATACATAGCTGTGCTTTTTGGAAAAAAAAAAGAAACATCAATCCCAGCCTTTCTTCTTAATTTCTTCAGTGAATATACTTCTTGGGAACCAGATTTAGCTAGCACACACTCTAGCCCCTTCCACTTACTTCCCTTGAGGTAGATTGTTTCCTAATTTTCTGAAAAATTGCCATACTGGTTTCCAAAGTGCTTGTACCAGTTTGCACTCCCACCAGCAATGCAGGAGTGTTCCCTTTCACCCACAACCTCTCCAGCATAAGTTCAGTGTTTTTGATCTTGGTCCTTTTACAGGTGTAAGATGGAACCTCAGAGTTGTTTTGATTTGCATTTCTCTGGTGACTAAGGATGTTGAGCATTTCCTTAAGTGTCTTTCAGTCATTTTAAATTCCTCTGTTGAGAGTTCTCTCTTTAGGTGTATACCCCATTTTTTTTATTGGATTCTTTGTTGTTTTGATTTCAAGTTACTTGAGTTCTTTGTATATTTTGGAGATCAGACCTCTGTCTGATATGGGCTTGGTGAAGATCTTTTCCCATCCTGTAGGCTGCTATTTTGTCTTGTTGACCGTGCCCTTTGCTTTACAGAAGCTTCTTAGCTTCCGGAGGTCCCATTTATTAATTGTTGCTCTCTGTGTCTGTGCTACTGAATTTTCCTACATATTGCTGCTATTTTTTTTAACCTTTTGAAGCAGACATAGCTTGCTTGTTTAAAAGACCTTTCAGATTTAAGAGTGTAGAGAAACCTATACTTTGCTTTCTATTAAGATCAAAGTGTAAAGTCCAGTTCCAGTCACTTCTCACCAATTTTATTTCCTGCTACTTCTTCCCAGTAAGTTTTCAACACCTTGAGCTTCTCTGTGCCTGGAACATGCCTCTGTCTTATTCATTGGAATACCTTCTGTACACATTAAGAATTCCTACCTCAGTCAGGCAGTGGTGGCACATGCCTTTAATCCCAGCACCGGAGAGGTGGAGGCAGGAGGATTTCTGTGAGTTCAAGGCCAGCCTGGTCTACAAGAGCTAGTTCCAGGACAGGCTCCAAAGCTAAACCCTGTCTCAAAAAAAAAAGGAAAAAGAAAGAAAGAAAAGAATTCCTCCCTCATGCACTAGGGATAGATCCTGGTCCCACTGCTAGGGCTCCCACAAACAGACCAGGCTATAAAACTACAGCCTAAACGCAGAGGGCCTAGTTCAGTCCCATGCAGGATCCCCAGAGGTCAGTCTGGAGTCCCTGAGCTCCCAGTAGCTCGGGTCAGCTGTCTCTGTGGGTTTCCCTGTCTTGATCTTGAGTGCCCATGCTCAAATTATTCCTCTTCCCTCTCTTTGATTGGAATACTGTACCTGGGCCTGATGGTTGGCTGTGGAGCTCTATATCTGCCTCCATCAGATAAAGGCTCTAGGATGAAGGTTCTATGATGACAGTTAGAGCAGTCCCCAATCTGTGTGACCCCTGGCAGTGGGACCAGGATCTATCCCTAGTGTATGAGATGGCTTTTTTATTTTATTTATTTAATTTATTTATTTATTTATTAAAGATTTCTGTCTCTTCCCCGCCACCGCCTCCCATTTCCCTCCCCCTCCCCCAATCAATGAGGACTACTGAGAACTCAAGAACAATGGCAATGGGTTTCTGATCCTACTGCACGTACTGGCTTTGTAGGAGCCTAGGCAGTTTGGATGCTCACCTTACTAGAACTGGATGGATGTGGGTGGTCCTTGGACTTCCCACAGGGCAGAGATGGCTTTTTGAAGCCCATTTTCCATGGTGGGATGCCTTGCTCAGCCTTGATGAGGGGAGGCGGGGCTTGGTCCTGTCTCAGCTGAAAGTGCCAGGCTTTGTTGACTTCCCCACTCTCTTTCTGAGGAGTGGATAAGGATGGGTTGGGGGGAAGTGGGGAGGAGAGGGAGCGGGGAAGGGAGGGCGAACTGTGATTGGTATGTCAAATGAATAATTTTTTTAAAAAAGAATTCCTACCTCAGGCTGTTGAGTTGGCTCAGTGGTTAAGAGCACTTGCTTGTCTTGAAGAGGACTTGGATTCATTTCCCAATACCCTTATGGAGGCTCACAGCCATCTGTAGCCCCAGTCCCAGCACAGCCAAAGCTCTCTTCTAACCTTCCAGGGCACCAGACTTACATGTGTTGGATACTTATATGCATACAGGCCACACACTCATGCACATAACAATAATAAGATAATTTTAAAAACAAGAATTCCTATCTACTCTGTGAGGCCTGTGGAGACCTCCGGTGTGGGGTTTTTCTAACTAGGTGTACCTCTGGATTCTTGGCTTCTAGCAAAGTGCTGTAGCACACAATAGGTACTCGTTAGATAGTTTTGAAATGCTCCACTTACTGGGATCTTAGTATATAATGAAGCTGAGTAGGTAGCCCAGTGGTGGACCACATGCCTGTCTTACCCAAGACCTTAGGTTTGATTCCCCAGCACTGAAAAAAAAAAACAAAACCAAAATAGACTGTGAGTTAGTTAAAGATACATTCACTACCAAGCATTTCAGGAAACAAGCAGGCTACAGATAGAAGAGATACATTCTGAGGGGAATTTTAAGTTTTGTGTCTGTACTTAGCCTTTAATTCCCTTGTTCTTTCATTCTCCTCATTCATGGGTTTTCCTAAGCTTTGAGACAAGACAAAAAAAAAGGAGAGAGAGAGAGAGAGAGCAGTTCTGAAAAAGAGAAAGGACCTAGGCAACAAGTACCTTAGCAACGAAGGCTACAATTTTGGAAACTACTTGAAAGTGTTTGCTCTTAAGCCAACCCATGCTATGAAAATTTCTCTTTGCCAGCAAGATTCTAGGATATTTGATGAAATTATTCTGTTCATGTTTCCTTTGAATGCATCGCAGCTTAGCTGCTGGTTTAATAACGGTGTGAGTGTTTTTTGTTCTGGTAACACCCCTTCCTAAGCTTTAGTGCTTGGTTAAAATCAGCAAGAGAACTGAGATGACATTGATCCCTAGTGTCTCAGGAAAGAAAAGCTGGCAGTGGTGCTGGGTGCAGTCGTGTACCCTGAAATCCCAGCACTCAGAAGTGGAGGGGCTCAGCTATATGAGGGGTATGAGGGCCAACCAAAAAAAAAAAAAACAGATTCATTTCAAAGTACACAAAAATGTTATTGCTGTTTTGTCTCGTGTTTCTTCTGTTAGCAACTGTTTCATTTTGACACATATAGACTTCTGAATAGCACAATGCTTTAGTCAAGATCCAATTTTCATTTTTTTTCAGTTTTGAAGTTAACAAATGCCCTTGCTACTGTACATTAGGCACTCAATAAGTATTTATTAACATTAACTTCATATTTTGAATTATTAATCGGAAACATTAAAGCAAGCTTGACTGTTATATTTTAATTTTCAGTTTCTGCCTTCCCGCACTCGTACATCTGCCAACCGAATTTTCCAAATCAAACAAGTAAGAGGATTTTAAAACTTAACAGCTGCTCATTAGAAATGGAATGATTTGTATTGGATTTATTTAATTATTTCTGGATGTATATATGAATGTGCCGTGACATGTGTGTGGCTTTCAGATGACAACATGTAGAACCCAGCTCTCTCCTTCCTCTGTGTAGGTCCTGGCAAACAAAAAGGTCTGTCATTGGGCTTGGAGGCAGGCGTCATTGCCTAATGAACCACCTTCCCCGCCCCTCTATCATCATCATCATTCTTATCAGAATTGCTGTTTCTGTAATTCTTAAAACAGTCACATGTAATGAAAAATTTTAATTCAAGAGTGCTTTCCTAAAGCAAAACAGGTAAGCTGCCAGATGTGGTACCACAGGCCAGGAATCTCAGGGCTTGGAAGACAGAAGAAGGCAGATAAGGAATTCAAGGTTATCATCAGCTATGTGTTGAGTTCAGGGCCACCTTGAGTTACATGAGACATTTAGTGTCCACATTACAGACCGTTATCTTTAAATTTCTTTCTTTATTTATTTGCTGTTTAGTTTAAACCCAGGTTTTTGTGAATGCTAAACATACACTCTACCATAGAGTGATATACCTGGACCCTTTAGCTTTTTTAACCACACACAACATCAATAAAACTTGTGAGTATACGTGCCTACAAAGTACATAGAAAGCCATGTTTATTTATACATTTCAAGTATACGCCACTGTACTAGCACACTGTATGAATCCTTGACCTAACCAAACTAAAGACACAAAATTACAGTGACCATGGTGGTGTATGCCTGGAATCCCAATGCTTAGAAGCTGGTGGCAAGAAGATCAGGAGTTCGAGGCTAGCCTGACCTACAGGAAATTTTGTCTCAATATGTCACCCTCCACCACAAAAAGAAAAAATGCTAAAGGATGTGATAAAAAGGAAATGGTATTTTTAGAAATTCTTAAGCATCATTAATAAAAGCTCAGTAGTGATAGTAAATACAAATTCCTATTTATAATATTTCATCATTTCTGTAATATTTACTTCAAATGTACATGACTAGTATTATCTTCTGTCCAAGATTTCTTTGTAGGATTAGTTTTTTGTATTTATTTTTCTCTCATATATAAATATTATAGTTTCCCCTCCCTCCACTACTCCTGGACCTTCTCCCCGAACTTCCCTCCTCCCCAGATCTACTCCTCCTCCTCCATTTTTCTTCAGAAAAGAGCGGGCCTGCCAGGGATATCAACCAAGCATGACATAGCAAGTTACAATACGACTGGGCACAAACCCTCATATCAAGGCTGGATGAGGCAACCCAGTAGAAGAAAAAGGGTCGCCAAAATAGGCAAAAGAATCAGAGGTTTGTAGAATTTTGTTGTTTTGAAACCAGTCCTCACTGTGCTGCCTAGGCTGGTCTTGAACTCCCCAGCTTGAGTGATCTACCTGCCTCAGCTTCCCTGGTATCTCAGCTGGTACTACAGGGCCTCACACATAGTAGGCAAACACTCTGCCACCAAACTGTACCCTTGCTCCATTTCAACCATTTTTAAGAGTACAGTTAATGGTATTAAGGACATTCACAACGTTAGACAATTGTTTCTGTTTCTAGGACTGTCTTGTCATGCGCAATAGAAACTATGTATCCATTTAAACAATAACCACAATCACCCCAGCCCCATCCTGTAAGTTCCATTCTATTTTATGGCTCTATGAATTTTGACTATTCTAGGTACTGCATATAAACCAAATAATATATAATATTTATACTGGCCTTTTCTACTTAGCATAATGTTTTCAAGATTCATTCATGCTGAAGAATATATTTAATTGTTTTAGAGTACTGGTAGTTGAACCCAGGCCCTTGTACATGCTAAGCAAGCACTTTACCACTGAACTATATATCGAACTCATACCTTCATTTTTATAGAGAGCTGAACAACATTCTTTTGTGTGGACATAGCACATTTTCCCCCTGTCCGCCTGATGAGATTGTTTACCTCTTGTGAGTGGTGCTGTTATGAATGTTGGTATAAAAGTGTCTGAGTCCTTATTTTCATCTCTTTGGGGACTTTTCTACAGATTCTGAACCATTTTTATTATCAAGAGCAATATCTAAAGATTATAGTTTCTCCAGATTTTCACTAATACTTGTTATTTCTTTGATAAATATTCTAAGTGCCTATCTTATATAAACAATCCATTTCATCACTTATGTAATGCATGCTTTAAATTTTTATTATATTTTATTTATTGATTGATTGATTTAGTGTGTGCTCATGTGATGGGAGTATTCCAAGGTGCAAGTGTGGATGTCAGAGGACAATTTGGGGGAGCGGATTTGCTAAGAAATATTAGTTTGGAATTGATCCATTTGTTTATGCTGTGGAACGTTTGTTTAATGATGCAAAGACGTGTTGCATTCTTTTATGTTGCATTTGTTTAACTCGGTGACGTTGTGTTATTTTGCCTGTCTAAAACACCTGATTTGTCCAATAAAGAGCTAAATGCAAAGCAAGGCAGGAGAAAGGATAGTTGGGGCTGGCAGGCAGAGAGGAGAAGTAGGAGGAGAAGTCTGCGAGGAGAAGATTGAGGAGCAAGAAAAGGAGGAGAACACCAGCGGCCAGCCACACAGCTACACAGCAAGCAATGGAGTAAGAGTGAAAGAAAAGATACACAGAAATAGAGAAATATAAATGTCGAGAGGCAAAAGGTAGATGGGATAATTTAAGTTAAGCAAAGCTGGCTATGAAGAAGCCAATCTAAGGCCAGGCATTTATAAGAAAGAATAAGCCTCTGTATGTATTTATTTGGGAGCTGGGTGGTGGGTCCCCCTAAAAGAGCCAAATGAATAAAAAATAAACCCAACTAACTACAGTGGTTCTCCCCTTTCCATCATGTGGAAAAGAAAAGAAAAGAAAAGAAAAGAAAAGAAAAGAAAAGAATAGAATAGAATAGAATAGAATAGAACCAGGTCATCATGATTGATGGCAAGCACCTTTACCACCAAGCCATGTCACCACCCCTATAATACATATTTTGAACTTCATTGGTTTGATCCAAATCATCTTTAACTACTATCATTTACTTAAATCCATACTGATAGACATTTGGTGTGCTATAGACTAAGGCCATCATAGTACTACTAGCAGAGAAAAGCAAGGACTTGTGAATCTTCTGGCTCCTGACAGGTACAGTTTCTCATCCAGTCAGTTTCTGTGCATTTGATATGTTGTAATGCAGAAGGAATGGACCACTGTTGTGATAATTTGTAGGATAACAGAGTAGAGAACCAGCCATTACAGAGAGATTTGTTTATAATGAAGTAATGGCGCTCTTCCATAGCCTAGTGAATAGCAATGAAGTACATCTTAGTGAAATTTGACTAAATGAAATCTTGTACAACAGTAGGAGTTGGGCCCTTGGTTTATTCTTATTTCCTTACCTTCCAGGAAGAAAGGATGGATATAGCAAGCAGAGAAGCAATGCATGAACGGTGAGTGTCATACTTTGAGTTACTATTTTGATCATCTGTATGTGCGGTTGTATCTTCTCCTTCAGATGGGCTGACTACAACACTAATAATTTCTTTTCTTCTGCAGGGAGATGCATACTGCAATGCAGATAACTCAGAATTGGGAAACAAGTCTAACTATGGTACAGTATTCACAGTTTAATTTTGTAGAAAATTTCTATTTTCACTAATATAGTGTTGTGTCAACAGCATCCACATGACAGTTCACAACCTCCTGTAACCCCAGTGGCAGCAGATCTGCCACCCCCTTCTGACTGACCCCTGCGGGTTCCTGTACATATGTGATGCACAGAAACTCACTCAGGTCCACACATATGCACAACAATTGCAAAATGATCCTTCAAAAGAAACATTGTATGGTTGTACCCATAAAAATAATGTCATTATCTGAAAGAGAGGCTGAAATAGTTTCTGACCCCAAACTGTAGATGTACCTGGGAGTTGTGAAGTCTCTCTACAGGTGCCATATTGGAAAAGCAGAGACAGGAGGTTGCTTTGACTCTAGAAATACCAGGTCAGCCTGGACAATATAGAGAGGATGAGGGCGGGAGATAGAGACACAGACAGACAGAGGAGGAAAACAGAGAAGCAAAGAGAGACACACAGAGACACAGAAACAGAGAGACACACACAGACAGACCGAGACACCGTGAGGAGAGAGACATTGAGAGAAACACGGAGAAAGAGATACTTCCTGATGTTGACTCTGTTGTGGACCAATGGACTGGCTTGCTCTCTTTACTGATTAACTCAAGAAAAGTCCAGTTGTTGCCAGCACTGGGTAGTTAGAAGAGGATCAGAAGTTCAAGGTCATCCTTGACTACAAGTTGAAGCCAGCATGGCTACATGAGACCCTGTCTTTAACAAAAGGTTGAGGATAAGGACTTGGCTTAATTGGTAAAGTGTTTGCCATACAAGCATGAGAACCAGAGTTTGATTCCCAGTGCCCCTGTAAAAAACACAGGCATAGTAGTGTGTGCCTATAATATCAGCCCTGGCAGGGGTTGGGAACAAAGACAGGAAGTTCCTTAAAGCTTGCTAGCCAGTCAGTCTAAATGAATTCTTGAACTCCAGATTTATGAGAGACCCTGTCTCAAAAATAATGTTGAAAGTAATTGAAGAAAACATCTGATTTTGACCTTGGGCTACATGTGTGCATGTGGGTGCATGCACTTACACACACACACACACACACACGACACACAAGTTCATTTGTGCTAAGGTGCTTAGGTGAAAAAAAACATTTGTATTCCCTTCTATATAATTTAGCAACTGTAGGTTAGAGTGTTTTTTTTTGTTGTTGTTGTTTTGGTTGGTTGGTTTTAAATTTTTATTCTTTATTCATTTTATATTTCAACCGCAGTTCTCCCTCCCATCCCTCCTCCTGTCCCTCCTCGCCTCCCCATCAATCCCACTCCCTATCCACTCCTCCGAAAGAGTAAGGCCTCCCACTGGGAGTCAACAAAGCCCAACACATTAAGTGCAGGTAGGACTAAGCCCCTTTCCTCTGCATCAAGGGTGAGCAAGGCATGTCATTATAGGGAATGGACTCCAAAAAGCCAGCTCATGCACCAGGGATGTACCTGGTCCCACTCCTAGGAATCTGCCAAATAGACCAAGCTACACAACTGTCTTCCACATGCAGAGGGCCTAGTTTGGTCCCATGCAGTCTCCACAGCTGTTGGTCTAGAGTTCATGAATTCTTACAAGCTTGGTTCAGCTGTCTCTGTAGATTTCTCCATCATGATCCTGACCTCCCCTGCTCATATATTCCCTCCCCCCTCTCTTCAAGTGGATTCCCGGAGCTCAGGCTGGTGCTTGGCTGTGAATCTCTGCATCTGGTTCTATCAGTTACTGGATGAAGGCTCTAGGATGACAGTTGGGGTATTCACCAGTCTGGTTACAGGGGAAGGTCAATTCAGGCACCCTTTCACTGATGTCTTCACTGGGGTCATCCTTGTGGATTCCTGGGAATTCCCCTAGCACCAGGTTTCTCCCTGACCTGATAGTGGCTCTCTCAATCAAGATCTCTCTTTCATTGCTCTCCCACTCCATCCCTCCCCCAACTTGACCATTCCATTCCCGTTCCCTCATGTTCTTATTCCCCCATCCCCTCCCATCTAGTGTCTCCCCTCATCCCCAGTTTACCCAGGAGATTTTGTCTAATTTCCCTTCCCAGGGTGATCCATGCATCTCTCGTAGGGTCCTCCTTGTTACCTAGCTTCTCTGGAGCTGTGAATTGTAGTCTGGTTATCCTTTGTTTATGAGTGAGTACATATTGTGTTTGTGTTTCTGAGTCTGGGTTACCTCACCTATGATGTCATTGTTTTCTACTGCTGAGTAATACTTGATTGTGCAAACGTGCCACATTGTCTTTAGCCATTCTTTGGTTAAGCAACATCTGGGTTCTGAATATTATGAATAATGCTGCTATGAACATTGTTGAGAAATGTCCTTGAGTATGATTGAGTATCCTTTGGGTATATGCCCACTAGATCTTGAGGTAGATTGATAACTAATTTTCTGAGAAACTGCCATGCTCATTTACAAAGTGGCTGTACAAGTTAGCACTCCCACCAGCAATGGATGAGTGTTCCCCTTACTCCACATCCTCTCCAACATAAGCTGTCCTATGTGATTTTGATCTTAGCCATTCTGACAAGTGTAAGATGGTGTGTGGGCCTTGATGTATGATTTAAACTTGAGTATTGTTTCTTTCACATATGTGGGTGCCCTTATATTTGGGACATAGATGTTCAGAATTGAGATTTCATCTTAATAGATTTTTCTTGTGGTAAATATGAAATGTCCTTCTTCATCTCTTTTGATTATCCTTAATTTGAAGTCTATTTTGTTAGATATTAGGATAGCTACACCAGTTTGCTGCTTAGGTCCATTTGGTTGGAAAGACTTTTCCTAACCCTTTACTCTGAGATAATGTCTGTCTTTGAGGTTGAGGCATGTTTCTTATAGGCAGTAGCAGGATGAATCCTGTTTTCATATCCATTCTTTTAGTCTGTGTCTTTTTATAAGCAAATTGAATCTATTAATATTAATATATATTAATGACCAGTGATTGTTAATTCCTACTATGTTTTGGTGGTAATGTGTGTGTTTCCCTTCTTTGAAATCTGTTGGTGTGGATTGTCCATTGCCTGTGCTTTTATGGATGCTGTTAATTTCTTTGGGTTGCAGTTTTCCTTCTAGTACTTTCTGTAGGACTGGATTTGTAGACAGGTATTGTTTAAATCCGGGTTTCTCATGGAATATCTTATTTTCTTCATATATGGTGACTGAAAGTTTTGCTGGGTATAGTAGTAGTCTGGGCTGGCATCCATGGTCTCTTAGAGTCTGCATCACATCTGTCCAGGACCTTCTGGCTTTCATTATTTCCATTGAGAAGTCAGGCATAATTCTGAGAGGTCTGCCTTTATATGATATTTGGCCTTTTTCCTTTACAGCTCTTAACATTTTTTCTTTATATTTAGTGTTTTGATTATTATGTGGTAAGAGGACTTTTTGTTTTGTTCCTGTCTATTTGGTGTTCTGTAAGCTTTTTGTACTTTCATAGGCATTTTCTTCTTTAATTTGGGAAAGTTTTCTTCTTTGATTTTGTTGAATACATTTTCTGTGCCTTTGAGCTGGGATTCTTCTCCTTCTTCTATTCCTATTATTCCTAGGTTTGGTCCTTTTATGGTGTTCCAGATTTCCTAGATGTTTTGTGTTATGACTTTGTTGGCTTTAATGTTTTCGTTGACCAATGAATCTATTCCTCTATAGTATCTTTAACTCCTGAGATCTCTCATCCTTCCCTTACATTTTGTTGGTTATGCTTAAATCTATAGTTCCTGATTGTTTCCCAGATTTTTCATTTCCACAATTTCCTCAGTTTGTATTTTCTTTATTGCCTCTATTTCAATTCTCAAGTCTTGAACTCTTTCCTTTGCTTGTTTGATTGCTTTTTCTTGGTTTTATTTGCTTTCTTTAAGAGATTTATTGATTTCTTCCAGTTTTTTGTTTGTCTTTTTCTTGATTTCTTTAAGAGACTTTTTCATTTCCTCTTTAAAGGTCTCTCTCATCTTCACAAAGTTACTTGTAAGGTTATTTTCTCCTGCTTCTTCTATGCTGAGATTTTTCAGGTCTTGCTGTTGTGGAACTACTAGGTTCTGGTGGTGCCATATTACTCTTTAGGTTGTTGAATGTATTCTTGCACTGGTGTCTACCCATCTTCTCCAGTCAGTGCAGGAGTGTCTGTGCCTCTTGGTCCTATCAGTGCAGGCAGTGAGTCTCGGGCAGCTGCTAAGTTCAGGGCTGATGGGTGGGTTTGGGAGGTAGAGTGATGGGGGTGGTGGTGGAGAAGCCAGATCATAGGAGACTTTCCTGCTGACTGGCTAGTGTGGCTGCAATGGGTGGGGGAGGGGCATAGGGGTGTGCCTTGGGGCCTAGGGCCTAGATACTGCTCTGTCCAGCTGGGAGGCCAGCCACTCACTCCTTGGTCTAATCAGTGCAGGCATTCTCTCTAGGTTAGAGTGTTAAGGAGTATATTTACTGGGCTAATATGACCTTTATTTCAATAATTTATAATATTTCCACTAACAGTTTGAACAAACAGTCTTTAATTGTGATTGTTGTATGACTTTTACTCTTCTTTTCTGTGAACATCCATGACAAAGCGAGAATTGAGCTGAAATTCAAGTAGGGGAGTCTGGTTAATGTCAATTTCTAGACTTAGAAGTTAGTAGATGTGGAAATGGATTATTAGCGGAAGACATCTTTTCCTTTGAAAGATGCCATAGATGGGCACCTGGTACTCATTTGAGAGTAGCTTTTGAAGTCACTGGCCAGGTGAGTGCTGAGGAGCTGAGGAGACAACCTCTGGTGTCTTGGCCTTCTTCGGGCTTCAGTTTGTAGATGCTATTGGAGTTCCTTAACTAAGCAGATTCTAATTAGTTTAGGTGTTGGCATGAGTGAATAAGAGAACCTGAGCTTTGAGAGTTGGAAGAGAACACATACTATACAAGTTTAACTTGATTCCAGTTTTGGAAAAGAATGAATTTTAAAATCCCTAATTATGAGAGTAACACTATGCAGGAAAGGACCAAAAACAATTTAGTGAGAATTACGATACAAATGAAATATCAA